TTTCTAAGGACATTTTTTATATTTATTCTAATCTTTGGTACTATCTGTTGGATTCGTTCTGTTTCCTATGATACTGGTTTGTTGCCTGTCATTCCTAGGGCTTGTGGTCTTCACATTTGTCCTGATATTTTCTTTTGGGATCATGTTTTACTTCCTTTGATTGGTCAACAACTTTGGCTTCTCTTTTTCTATGGGGAGAGGAGTCTAAGTTCAGATGTAGCTCATGGTCCTCCAGGTATGTTTAGGGTAGGGAGGAGGGGCTTTCCAGCTGGAAAGCTCCAGTCAGAGATCCCGCAGTGATACAACCTGAGCTCTTCCTGTCCCCAGGAGCCCCTTAGGCATACACATACCTTCAGAATCAAACTAGTACCTCTATGGTAGGGACTGCTTTTCATGAGGGAATTGGGCTACGATTCTTGTTTAAAACTGCCGGGCCCATGGGAAAAAGTGCTGAAGGGCCAGCCAGCTCACAGGCACTCTGCCGCTGGCTCTCCTCCCCAGTGAGCTTCCAGGGATTCCTTGACAGTGACTCTGCCCTGCTCTCCAGAATTTCCTGCCCCATCAGGGAGATACCTGGGCAGTGATCGCAACAGGACAACAAGGGAAATAATAAAAAACAAGTAGAAAGCTCCCTTGGTCCTTCCGGCTTTGTCACTATTCCCCACCAGGGGGAACTCGGCCATCCATACCCTATCTCTCAGCAGCATCTTCAGGGCCAGGTTTGGTGGTAGAGCCTGTAGACTCTGTCCTGGCCATCTTGTCAGGAACTGGGATTCCCAGCAATGGTTCCTTGTCTTCATTTGCCTTGGTATTTGATGTCCTGGTTATGCTATGGGATTTTTATTTGTTGTTGTTGTTGTTTTGGAGAATAGAATTTACTCATTCAGCAAGTATTTGTTGAACACTATGGTTTGCAAGATCCTTTGGCAAGTATTGAGGTAAAATAGCCAAAGAGCCTTTCTAACCACTGCTTTCTCTGGAATTAGCTAAGCAAATCAACTTGGCATTGCCGAGGGTTTGCTGGTCTCTGAGTCACCACACTTGCCAGGAACCAGCCTAGAATTTTCTCTTTCATGATGTTTGCTGGGGCATGTTCTCTCCTTCAAAAGTCTGCTAACAACTCGTGTTCTTGCTGTCACCTTTCAAAATTATTCCTTCAGCCTCAATCCTTCCATTTCCCATCTCCATTTTCACTGAGAGCTTCTGCATGAAGTTATAAAGTTCATGAGGAATTTGGAAAAAGTCCCCACCCAAGGCTGGACTGGTTTTCCGTGTAGCTCTGCTACTATTGGATGTATGATCTTGGCTCAGTTACTTCATCTACCAGGGCCTCCGTCTCTGCCATCTCTATGAGCCTGTGTTTATGACTGTATTGGCTTCTGACTCTTCCTGTAGTTTCAAGAGCTCTTGAGTAAAGAGCTGGGTCTTTGAAATATTTAATACATTTTACTTGTTGATTGGTAAGTTTAGCATATATTCCTTTTTTTTTCTTTTTCTTTTTTCTTTTTTTTTTTTTTTTTTTGAGACAGGGTCTCTCACTCTGTTGCCCAGGCTGGAGTGCTGTATGATCTTGGCTCATTGCAACCTTCGCCTCCCAGGTTTAAGAGATTCTCCTGCCTCAGCCTCTTGTGTAGCTGAGACTACAGGCACACACTACCCTGCTTTTTTTTTTTTTTTTTTTTTTTTTTTTGTATTTTTTGATAGAGATGGGGTTTCACTGGGCTGGCCAGGCTGCTTTTGAACTCATGGCCTCAAGTGACCTGCCCACTCAGCCTTTCAAAGTGCTGGGATTACAGGCATAAGCCACCATGCTTGGCCCTGGCCACTTTTTTTTTTTTTTTTTTTTTTTGAGATAATGTCTTGCTCTGAAGTACAGTGGCATGATCGTGGCTCACTATAGCCTCTAACTCCTTGGCTCAAGCAATCCTCCTGCCTCAGCCTCCCAAGTAGCTGAGAAAACAGTCATGTGCCACCATGCCTGGCTAGCATGCAATTTTTATCATAAGCTAACAAAATCACTCTTGTGCCTCTTGATATACAATGCTGTGGCAGGTGCTTTTTACAATAAATTTGTCTCTGGTCTCTCAAAGTTAGTATAAATCAGCCTAAATAATGTTGACGCATTATTTTATCCTTTTCTTGAAGGAAAGATACATATGTAAATGGTATGAATGCATACTGAAAGAGGAGAAGGCACAAAGTCACGTTCTTCTACCTCTACAGACCATTCAGAGTATGTGGGAGGCAAAGTTCTCAAAGAAAGGACCATGCAGTTTGCCAGTTTGTTCTCCAGGTCCTTCTGGGACACACAACTACTCGTATTGAATGGCTCAGGTGTGATCTTAGGAGAGGCAAGAGACCCTTGAGATTCTAGCACTTCTAAGACCCTCTTCCCATAGCTCGGCTCTAAAGAATTGCCTCATGTCCCTCCTTCCCTTCCCACATGATCCGTGCATCAACCCCACTCTTACCATTCCGTGACCAATGGTCCTCTGCCCACTCTCAGAGGATGAAGTCTTCCTCTTGCCTCTCTGGGTGACTGGCTATACATTTCGAAGGCTAGAATTTCCTGGACAAAAGATACAAGTTGGCCAGGTGTGGCGGCTCATGCCTGTAATCCCAGCACTTTGGGAGGCCGAGGCGGGCAGATCACCTGAGGTCAGGAGTTCGAGAACAGCCTGATCAATATGATGAAACCCCGTCTCTATAAAAAATACAAAAATTAGCCTGGTGTGGTGGCAGGCGCCCTTGTATCCCACCTACTCGGGAGGCTGAGACAGGACAATTGCTTGAACCCGGGAGGCAGGCGGTTGCTGTTAGCCGAGATTGTGCCACTGCACTCCAGCCTGGGTGACAGAGCGAGACTCCATCCCCTCCTCCCCCAAAAAAGTGAAAGATACAAGTTTACATTTAAAGTTTGTTACATATTGCCAAGTTGCTCTCCAGTAAGTTGCACCAATTTACACACTCACTAGCAGTGTACAAGAGTATCATATTCCCACACCCTCACCAACATAGGGTATGCTCATTCTACCTATTCGTTCTCATCTGATTTGGTTTCTCAGGTTTTCTCAAAATTTGTATCTCATTGATTGTGGTAAACATATTTTCATATCTTTATTGCTCCTTTTATACTTTTTTTTGAGTTGCCTGTTCATATTCCCTAGTCTCATATATTTGAAAAAGTTATATAAATAGATATATACATAAACATATAGATATATAGAAATCAACCCTCCTCTGCTAAAAATGTGACGTACAGTTTTTTTACATTGCTATTTGTATTTTAAAGCTTTATTTATGGTGTCTTTAAAAAAATCTATTTTACTATGCAAGAAGTTGAAGTGTTTTTCTCTTTAGTTAATACTTTTTCTTCCTTCAAGGTTCCTGCTTTAGGTGTCTTCCCTACATGAGACAGAGACCAGTTGCCTACAAACACCTTCTCCTCATCATTTTTAGCAAGGAAACATTGCTGCCTTAGTATATTTTTGAGCCTCCTTTGCAGCTGGGTGTGATCTGGTTACCAGTAGGCTGATGAATGCAAGTGTTGTTGTGAGACCCGGGGCGAAGCTCCTTAAGGGTAAGGGCTGAGCCCCTCTTTTCCTTTTCCGCTGTTTAGAAGGAAATAGCTAGAGCCTTGGCAGCCATCTTGGACCATTTCCATCATGAGGATGAAAGCCAGACTTGGCAGAGGGAACAGAAAGAAGGAGCCTAGAGCCCCGATGGCATCATGGTGCTGTCACACCAGCCCTATGCTGTCTACCTCTGGACTTCTCTTTTTTTGAGAGAATAAATAAGTTCCTATAGTCAGGCCTTTGATAAGAACAACCCTAATTCCAAGAGAAGTTCCTAACTCATACATCAACCCAAGGTTATATGCATATAATATATATACTGTTTACTTGTATATATATATATATACATTAATGTTTACCTGTATTTTCTTCTAAGTCTTTTATCTACTACTTTATCTCTATGTGTACAGATATATGACTGAAAAGATATATAACCAAGATTTAACACTGTATATTAAATAATAGTATTTTGGTAGAGACTTTTTCAAAATGAAGATTACTAAACCCACTGGTAGATAAATCATTATACTGAATTTTAAGGAAGGATCTAATTACAGAGTTTTAGTCTATTAGGCATTTTTTGAAGTTAGGCCAATGAACTTGATATGGAATTCTTTCATAATACAGGTCTTGAGAAATAGGATTATCAATTTCCTTGTCTAATCATAAGCTTTTATCCTGAGAAGTTAATTTTTAGAGAATATGACTATAAAATGTGAGACTCTATATCTAGTTGGGAATTTTTTGATAAAGGTAATGGGATACATGTCTAAACTTGTGCAATAAAGGGCGATGGTTAAACAAAATTTTACTATAGTTTAGAGTCAGAATTTCAATATTATTGGTTATAGTTATTTATTTGTTTTTCATGAAGTGGGGGAGGGTCTCACTGTGAGGCCCAGACTGGCGTGGAACTCCTGGGCTTAAGCAACCATCCCCACTCATGCTCCTGAGTAGCTGGGACTATAGGTACACACCACCATTCCCAGCTTTGGTTTTAAAATATGTTTTGATTGTAGGTGTAAAATGTTTTGAAAACTTAACAACACATATTACTCCTGCTTCTATAAAAGCTGGTCAGGTATTGGTGTTCCATTTAATGTAACTAGTACTTCCTTAACTACAATGTATTAAATATGCTATGTATTAATATTTAGTTTCAAAATGAATCTACAAGATAGGTAATATAATTTCTATTTTAGAGAGGAGGCACTGAAGCTCAGAGGTGTTCATTCACTTGTCCAAGGCTACTCATAGGCTGATTGGGAAAATAAATAAATAAATAAAAAAGCCTCTGAAAACTGTTGATTCCAAAGCCTGAACTCCTAGCTACTCATTTTTAGCCCTGGGTTGGGCCTGTAGGACTTAAGAGATGAGTAAGACACAGTTTTCCACAGGCAATGTCAAAGAAGAATTAGAACTTACCTGCCCCACATAGGTTTGTTATGTTAATATGAGTGGGCAGAGAACTGCCTTTTGAATTTGCTGCAGACACAGCCACAGTCCAACTTCCGGTTCTAGGAATGACTATGGACCAGGAGGTGTGTCCTGTGATGTTCTGTGTTACGGCTTTCCCTCTTGTCAGCTCCTGCAAGGTCACCTCATAGTGGAGAATTTTTCCTCTTGCCTCTGAGATGCTCAGATTCTGTAACAAGATACATTTATTCACTGTCTACTCCCAGACAAGATCACTGATACTCTGTGCCTGGACCTCATGGGTCCAGATGTAGCAGGCAGCTACACCGAGTGACCTTTTTATTCATATCATCTCAAGTGCCCCGCTACACACGTTTATGCAACACCCACCCTTCCCTCGCTGCCATTTAGGAAATAAAAAATCAGTTAATGTTTTTTAAAGATAATTCTTTTTTTTTTTTTTTTTTTTTTTTTTTTTTGAGACGGAGTTTCTCTCTTGTTACCCAGGCTGGAGTGCAATGGCACGATCTCGGCTCACCGCAACCTCCGCCTCCTGGGTTCAGGCAATTCTCCTGCCTCAGCCTCCTGAGTAGCTGGGATTACAGGCACGTGCCACCATGCCCAGCTAATTTTTTGTATTTTTAGTAGAGACGGGGTTTCACCATGTTGACCAGGATGGTCTCGATCTCTTGACCTCGTGATCCACCCGCCTCGGCCTCCCAAAGTGCTGGGATTACAGGCTTGAGCCACCGCGCCCGGCAAGATAATTCTTAAGAACACATTGATTTTCCTTTTTTGCTTTAAAATGAAACTTACTAATAGTAGACAACTTGGTCACTTCCAATAGAACCAGTGTAGAATCTGAACTCAGAAGATCTGGATTTGAGTTCCAGTTCTACTGATAACACAGCCCAAGGGCAAGGCACTCAGCCCTAGTCTCCATTTTTAAATTTGTAGATCACACACGCACAAATAACCTTTCCTATAGAAAGTGCACTGCTGCTCAAGACATCAAACAGAAGATTTTCAAGAGCTAAACTAGTAAAATCTTCACTTACTGAATTGAATTAGCCATCTGTACTGGGAAACTGAGATGCTGTTCATAAACATGTGACTAACAACTTTTGAAACTGCAAAAATTTCAATTGAGATCATTTGGGAGCAATCCCAGAAAGTAAGCAGAGAACTAATTATTTGTATTATAACCCTGTTTTGACAAGGACCATAGGAAACAGAAGCATAGAATACGAAGAGTTGCCAAGTCTAGCACTGGTAGTGGCCATCCATGCCTAATGCAAGGAGAGGAAGGCTTGCTCACCAGACTTAAGCGCTACAGTTTTCTTGGCAAGGCTGTCCCTTCCATGAGTGGGGGCCTCCAGCTGCCTTTGCTGAAAGACACCTTGTAGTCAGCAAATGCCCCTTGCTCACGGAGCACTCTTCTAATAATTTGGTTTCCTATGTCATTTATCTGTCAGGAAAGGCTGGGCTAACGTGAACATCTGGTTCACTTATAATTTGTATTTTTCACTTTAAGTGAATAAATTGGCCTTCTGATTATAATCTGGCTCCTGAAACAATTCGCATACTGGGAGAGAAGGTTCCGATCTGCTGACTCAAGCTTTCTGGTTGGCCCCACAGTTGCATTTTTTGCTGAAATTAATCCAAGGGCATCTAGTTTTTTATATTTCCATTTCTGGAAGCTTGGTTAGTGCAGGTCCATTCTGGTGACCCTTCTGGATCCAAAAGCCCCAAAACTAGATCTTAAACCATGGTCAGTGCCCCAGGAGGATGCCGCGTTGCTCTGGGCCTTTGTGTGGACATTCTGCCCTTGTCGAAAGTCAGCTTTTCAAACGTCTGTCACAGCTGATCTCATAGGCCTGTTGTAGGGATTAGAACAAGCAAGTGCTTTTTAGAGTAGGATGTTCTAACTATTATTATTAAATATGCTCTTTGTCAGAGGAGAAAAACAATACATTAAAGCAGATTCTGGTGAAGGAAGGCCATCCCCTCAGCTATCTCTCACTCCATCCTTCCCTATCTGTCACTTCTGCAAGTCCAGAGACAGGACTGTTACTCCATTCACCCCCCAATTTTTCCAGCTCTAAAGTACTTCCCAAGAGTTAACTGAGCTCACAAAAGTCTTCTTTCTGGCCAGGGACCCAAGAGGCTTCAGTCCCACTCCAACATTGCAAAGCAGCCTTTATCGCCTCGCTCTCACTGTCCTTCATAGACCTCCCAGAAATCTCATTTAATACCGTAGTAAAGTGCTGCAGGAAGGGGTGAAATATCATCTTGGATCCAATGACTGTGCATAGTGACTGCTGTGAAAATCTAGCTGATCACAGCAAGCTAGTAAACAGGGGTGTGGCTCTGAAGGATCATGCAGATTTCAAGAGGGTGTGGACTCGGACTCTGACATTTTCCCCTTTGCATCTCGTATTTTAGAGTTGAAAATATCAGTGAAAAGGTGGGAGTGGGATGGAAGTAGATGGAGAAGTAAACATGGTATCCTATGAGTTAGGCTGATATAAAATGTAGAACTCAATTTTTGGAATAAGGATTATCCTTTCTTAGGTAATTGGTCTCCTTAACCAAATTGAAAAACAACCCTAACTGGTCCAACAGGGTCCATGGGACAAAACTTCAATGAACCAATAGGAAAACAGATATTTAGCCGCTTAGTCTCCTGAGGCAACTGAAAACAGTATAATCAGTTCAGGGTTTTTTTTTTTTTTTAAGGCAACATAAAGTTTGCAAATGGTGTATGTAGTCCATCACTCCTGGAACATGCCTTGCCCTGATGGAAGGGAATATCGCCAAGGAACCACCAAACTGGAAGTGAGTCTACAGATTAACAATTAATTCAATGATTCATTTTACAAGTGGGAAAATGGGCTGAGGGACATGAAGTGACTTGCTCAAGGCCATGGACAGATGAAGAAGGTAAGCACAGAATCCAGAGTTCTCGACTTCTAGGCCTGTGTTTCCTCTGTTATGACATGCTGCTCCCTATAGAGACAAGCCTGAGACAGTGAACTGGTAGGTGTGGGCAGGTGTGTTTGATAGTTGAAATCCCCAGCCACCCTTCCAGCCACAAGTTGCAAAGCAACTTCTCTGCTTGTGAGGTTTGATACATTCTGACATGCAGCACCAAAAGCCAGCGTGAGCTCATCAGTCTGGGGAGGGTGGAGACTGAGAATCCCTTTTTTTTCTAGAGCTAGCAGGTTCTGACTCACAAGAGACAAACCGAGAGCTCAGAAGAACTGCAGATGGGAGGAGCCTGCCGACTCTTCCCAGACCAACTTCTTTGTATGCTGCTGCTGTTGGTTTGGGTGACTGATAAAGGAGAGACCAACATTTATTGGGCCATACCGTGAGCCAGGAGCTTTATGTTTAATGTCCCATTTAATCCTTATAACTCTCCATTCTGATGAGGATGTTGACGCTTGGGGAAGCTAAGGAACTGTTTCAAATAGTCCCCACAGAAAATTGCAGTGAGAGTTTAGAGTGCCCTCTGGTGGATGTGAGAGAAGTGTGCGCTATCCAGAACCTGTCTGGTATCCCTGGCAGTGTCTCCAAGACAAGACCTGCAACGTCTTGTACCTTCTCTGAGAATGGGTCTCAGGCCAGCGTTCCTACTGTCATTGTCACCTTCTCCCACTGGTAAGAGGATGCCATAAAGGAACCACCATCCCACTGCCTCTCTCCTTCAGTTTTCTTTCTGCTCTGTCCTGTGGGAAAGGATTTAAACTTCTTATGGAAAGCCTTTCGGACTTGGCTTTGAGAACTGAAGAGTGAACAGCTCTCTTTCTCAGTAAACCTACTGTAAGAGTTCTGTTGCCTGAAAAAGCTTTCAGCATTAAAAAATTTGGTAAATCTAATCCATGACAGGACAAAATACGGTACATTTCAGAATGCAATGCATCTGTTTTTATTTTTAATTAAAGATCTATTGGAGGAGGGGTGTCTCCATGAACTGATAAATCATTTCTTCTTAAGATTTAAAAAAACGTACTGAATTTGTCATAAAGCAATGTTCAACTTCTGAACTTCCCCTGATGCAAATAATCAAGAAAAAAAACTCTCAGCACTTAGCCTATATCAAAGAAGAGGGCCTATAATTTAGACTTTAGAAAGCTGGGGGAATCTGAACACTATTAACCACAGCTTCTCTCTCTTTTGATTTTGGCTTTGGAATACTGCTGACTTTGATTTTTTCTTGTTAGAACAGATCTCTTGCTTTCTTGCTCTACCACATGGCAGCTGTATGACCTTGGGCAAATTATTTTCCCTTTTTGAGCCTCAGTGCCCTTATCTATCAAATGTAGGCTTATTGGAGCCTTCGATGAGTTAAGGGAGGTAAACTGCTTTAAAGAGCGCTTGGCACATGTTAAGACTCTTGGCGACTTCCCTTCTCTCAGTTACTCTGAAGTAATATAGAAATCATCATGACTGGTACTTCTGCTAATATGCTTACATGACTCTTCTACCAGTCTATGGAGAGCTAGGTTATCTTGACTCTTGGTGTATTCTCCATTTCTATATGGAAGTCTCACCAATGCCATTCAGTTGGTTACAAAATACATGTAATGTGAGATTTTTGTGGGCGTCTTGATTTTAGAACTCATGACTGCCTTCCGCAACTCCAGTCCAAAATGAAGAAGTGATTCAAAAGACAACCCTCAGCCGTGTGCAGTGGCTCACGCCTGTAGTCCCAGCACTTTGGGAGACCAAGGTGAGCGAACCACTTGAAGTAAGGAGTTCGAGACCAGCCCGGCCAACATGGTGAAACGCCCTTTCTACTAAAAATACAAAAATTAGCTGGGCATGATGGTGCGTGCCTATAATCACAGCTACTCAGGAGGCTGAGGTGGAAGAATTGCTTGAACCCAGGAGGCAGAGGTTGCAGAGAGCTGAGATGGCGCCACTGCACTCCAACCTAGGTGACAGAGTGAGACCCTGTCTCAAAAAAAAAGAAAGAAAGAAAAGACAACTCTCACCTCGACATTTTAAAAAACACTTCATTGAAATTGTCTGTCTCAGGATCTATTTTCCTACTAGCACCCTCAATGTCATGTACAATGTTTGCCTCATAACAATAACTTAATCACACACTCTTCACAACGATCTCATTGATCTTGACAACAACTTCATGTGATTTGCACTTTACTCATGAGTAAAATAAGGAGCAGAGAGTGTAAGTACTTTGCCCAAGAACACCCGGCCAAT